AAATCTCGCCCCGTAACCTAATCCAGGGCCAAAAAGCTGGATGTATGAAATTCGAATCCTGCTGACCCCTCCTTTCCCTGTATAACAGTGCGACAAAAGGAACTACCCCCCTGTAATCACAGTGCATCACTTCCAATGCTTTCCAAATCAGAACCCTCATTAGTACGGTGGTTCTTGATCGGCCTCGTGGTATCCCATATTGGTGTCCGGAATGCGAGGGAGTGGGTCGCTGTAAGGCTGTGCACACGACAAGGCTGCTGGCCCCTTTGGAGAATCCAATTGAAAGTGCTACACAAGGCTGTATGTTCTGCTAATGGGAGTCAGAAATTAGTGCCATAGGCAAGTTATCCGAAGCTATATAACACGCTGTAGTATATTTTATGTTATTTGCATCTGTCATGGATCTTTACGAGTCAGCCACCTGGGCTAGAGTACATTATGTCTTGCGAAGCAATAAGCACTACCACTACTCTGGTATCCCCAGTTACATCCAGAAGTCAAGATAACAGCCCTACCAGCCCTGAAAGTGGTCAAGATGTACAGCTTCAGAGTCACCCAGACAATAGGTAAGCAAGCATTTCAATATCATTGACAAATCATGCTGATAGCCCAGCCCGGGAGACGACGAAGAGAAAGGACCATCCAACACATCACCAGACAAAACGACAGCACCGAGACAAGGAAAACAATGGATGCAAGGCGTACGTCTATGTATCTATGTCATGATCGTAATCCTCGCGATCAACCTCAGCATGACAGTGACTTTCGCGCTCTTGGCACGTTCCAAGAAATCCAAAAACATGTTCTACGAAGGGGATTGTGACACGGTAAATGGGATATCGATCGGACTCGGCCTCCTAGTCAATGCCATTGGCGTCGCCTTGACTGCTACGAGTAATTACTGCTGCCAGATTGTCACGGCCCCCTCCAGAGAGGAAGTTGACCGGGCTCATAGTAGACGGACATGGGTGGCCATTGGGTCCCAGAGCATGACGAATATCTGGCTTGCTGCTCCATGGCGCAAATTGTTGTGGTTAGTGTTGTGTGCCACCTCGATTGCGGTCCAGCTGGTGTGAGTAATGATATGTATGTTTCATGGATGGTGCAAGTGTCTAAAACTGGGTGATCTAGGTACAATTCCTTCGTACATACCGTGGTTGGGGCCAACGACTTCGGGGCTGTGGTGATATCTTCTAATTCAACCCTTTCGACCACAGAATTCGCCCCTGGTTCGCTATTCAAGGAGACGATCGGAGTCAGTGCAAACGAGCTTCAGAGAAATTTCGCAAACGAGGACCTTGAAGAGATGCAAGAAGAAGTGAACTACTATGGCGACACGATAGGCGTACCAGGAATGTGCGAATCATTGGTCCATCCTACCAAATTGATGAAAACACGCCTCACGCTGGTTATTGCCAGTGACAACATGCCGGCCAACAAAAGTACCGTTTGGAGGTGTGTTACCGACTCCTTATTCCGACTTCATGGGGAAATGGAGTATACAACGGCTCCATCCGAGCTCCTAGGATCTAACAGCTTGTGTGACTTCTCTGATGGTTCGATAAATGGTTATGCTGTCCATGGTTGCTGGAGTAAAACAAGCGAAGCGCAATGCCAAATGGTGTATAATCTTCCCATTGGATTGATTGTGACTGGGTGCGTTGCAGCGAAATTGATTGGCATACTTCTTATTATCTGTGACAATCGGGAGGAGATCCTTCTTACGACAGGCGACGCCATTGCCTCTTTTCTGCGAAGACCCGATCCTATAACAGCCGATACGTCTCTTCTCGCCCATCCACACGTACCGCGTCGGCAAGCCATGAACAACGAGGTCCACCTGTCCTGGCGATCCAACTTCCCAATAGACCCTCTACGGCATACCCAACACCGAGATGTAACAATTCCACCGCCGGCACGTCCAACCTACCCCTGCATAAAGGCGTATATATGGAAAGACGCCGTCCCACGATTACTGCTCTGGCTCCTAGTCACTCTAGCCACAGCCTCTATCGGAATAAGTCTCGTCCCCTTGACCAGCAACATGCCCAACGAATCAGGCAAGTCAGTCGCGACTAGTGTCTTCTCGGAGATCTTTCCGCCAGCCCTAGACACGCGTCTTTCAAAGAAAAGCTTCGCCTGCCTCGTGCTAGTCGTCAATTCCCCCCAAGTTGTCGTCTCAATGATATACTACCTCGTCAACAACGTGCTCACAAGAATGCTTCTCGCAGCCGAGTACACTAGCTACGCCATCAAACGGAAACCGCTGCGTGTCTCATTCCCCCAAGGCCAGCAGCGTTCGACGTACTACCTCACCATCCCGTATAGATGGGGCGTCCCCACGTTCGTAATCTTTTCCGTCTTGCATCTGCTTATGTCCGAGGCGTTTTCGTACGTGGAGGCCATGCCATACAGCGTACATGGTCACTTCGACGAGGATAGATCTATGCCCGCCATTGCGGTGTCGATCATCGCATCGGGCTTGTACATGGGCATCCTCGTCTTAGGCTGGATGCACATGTACCTCGCGATGCATATCATCAGGTTCGACTACCCGCCCATGCCGCTGGCGCTGAATTGCAGTGCCGCTATCAGCGCGGCTTGCCATCCGCCCGAGAGCGACACCGACGCTGCTGAGAAGCCTGTTATGTGGGGTGAAGTCCAGCGAGAGAACAGTATCAGCGGGGATGGAGATGAGCGGTACCGATATTGTAGCTTTTCTTCTCAGGAAGTGGTTGAAGTGAGTCCTTTAGAGCGTTATGTATGATATGAGGTGGGAAAGTGTATACACGGTATATGTGATTTGCGCAGGCCGCAATTATAAGCCGGTGTGGCTTTGATGCCTTGTTTCTAGTTCATATGGAACTTGTCAGAGACAATGTACCCTAGTCATAGTGAACGGTCGTCAAGCCCCAACATAAAGTCCATATCCGAACACACGCCTATCTATTCCAATACTGTCTATTCCGACTCAGCCGTCAGCTTCCTGAGCGGACAAGTACCTGGAATTATCGTAACCCTACCAAAAACTACAGAAACCAGCACCATTGCGAAAGACGCACAACGGTTCAACACCGACCAAGCCCGACCAACCCACGAATCATATCTCGTGGTGGACATCCGAGTGTCAAGGCAGTTGGATCAAGCAATAGCCGGCCAGAACCGGCAAGTCGACGCCCGTGCCCCACTGGTCTGTTCCGATTCCCCATAGGCCCATATGGCACCGGCAGACTGAGAGATTATTAGGGGCACTTGGCATTATCAAGTATATCCCTCCCCTTGCTTGGCAGTCATGGGTCTTCTTGATCGATGTGTCGATGCCTCGTGGGGTTTGGTGTTATTAATCCCAGTTCAAGATCAGGAAAATGTGGAGAAATAGGTTGGAATTGGAGGGATTATGCAAGGGATGGTGATTTCACGCGTGGATTGCTGATTCCTGATCTGCCTTGCAGACAATACACACGTGGGATACTAACAAATCTAGTAATGATATTACAACTAAAAACCATGTCAATCATAGCAGGTTAGGGATCCGGCTAATTGTATTAAGCAATCCAACCGGTTGTGTTGGACTGTTGGGCTACCAAGCAAGACCAGATATGGGATGAATGGAGATTGAAGGAGCGTAAAAATTTTCCCGGCCAAGACTCTTGCCTTGTTTGCTATCCAACTCGGGCTGGGTGGAGTCAGATCGGATTCGGCTCAAACCGACTGACTGTTATAGTCTCATGAGGACTTTTCAGAACTACAGTCCGCGCATATTCAGGAAGTATCACCATCTGTATACCGAGTATGTCAAAGCCAAAGTTGCTTTTATTGTGTACATAAATATCAACATAAAAACTGTTGGATTACTAATGCTGTAGATTTATTGATTCTTTTTCTTTTTACTTTCCTCTTTTTCTCCTCTCGTGGATGAAGACCCACTCGGACCCATCTGTATGGCTCCATCTCAGTAAGTACTGGTCACCACATTCTCATGGCTTCAACTTACACCTGGGGATAGTACTCTGTCGAAAGCTGATCATTTATCAGAAGTCGCGTCAGCATATTGTATGTAACAGTTCAATCCTCAACCTCATACAAGACTGTCATATGGTATAAAGTCAATTGACATATTGAATAAGATGAAGATAGTCAATGGTGGAGAACTCGACTTGCCAAATGCAGTCGATCGAATCAGATCCATGGTCAACGTGGTTGGACAACATGGTTCACTGACCCATCTTGGGGCTTCCAATTATCTAATAACCTTCATGGTCAGCATCACATTGAGTTCCCTCTAAAAAGGTCCTTCCTCCCTCGCTTCTCTGCCTCGCTTCTCTCCCACGGCACGTCATCTCTTCCCTACTCTTGTCGTCACCTTCCATCGACGTCCTTTTGCGGAGGCGAAGACGACATCAACTGTCCCACTGCCCTCAACTGTCCCACTGCCCTTTTTATCCCCTTTCTGATCTCCTCGACAGGCCAGCACGACTCGTGCACTGTCTCCCCACTTCTCCACGCCATCCCGATTGGATCAGTGGTGTCGTTTCCCGACATCACTACTTACTGACAGTTGCTCCCTGTTATATAGTACTTACTACTATCTGTCAAAGTTCAAAAACTGGCTCCACTCTCAACAAGTTACCAAAAACGCGAAGATTCCAAACGGAAGTAGCAGCATCCAACTTTCTTTCTCACCCGTTGCGACATCCCCAAGCGTCTCCGATTGAATCTCCATACCCCGGGACTCTCAGACAGCGCCGAATCCAACAGCCAGTGCACCGATCAGTTTCCGATCAGTTCCCAGTTCCCGCGCGGCTTGATTTCAACCACCCGTGCGGACCTTCTCAGTAAAACACCGAACGAATTACGGTAGGCTAGCCCTGGCGCAAGTGTCGTATACCTTTTGACCGGTCGGATCCACGACCGACCGCGCGAACCACACGGTCATTCTGCCTCGCGCCATCTCGGAGTCCAACCCCCCACCCAGTGCGATAAACCAACCGGACACCACCATGGGTTCCTGGAACTGGAGAGACCTGCTCGCCAACCGGGACCGGCAACAGTTCCCCGAGGTAGTCATCCCTCTCGCCAATGCCCCTGCGCCTGAAAAACCGACCACGGCCCCCTATGCGGAGAAGAAGCCCGACTCGGAAGCCGACTCTAACCACACCCATGACAGGGCATCATGTCAAGAGAAGGGCGCCGCTTCGTCGCCGCCCCCGCCGTACAGCGCGCTAACTCTCGAAGCGCTCCGTGCGGAAGTCGAAGCGGACGTTTCCTCTTCCTCTCATGATACTGCCTATGACCGTACGTCCCTTGTCTAATCTGATTCCAAGCAGATCGGCCTTGCCCTGTCAGCGGGCTGGCGTGCGGATAACTCATGACCCCTACCCTGGTGGAACCGAGTTTCGGGTTCTAATGTCTCGTGCAGGGAAATCGAAGGTGATCAACAGAGCCATCCAGGATATTGGTATGGGCCGTTATCAGTATGAACTGTATGTTCTGTGTGGTTTTGGCTGGGTTGCCGATAAGTAAGCGTTTCCCGCCTCATATTTATAGATCATATCTAACCCCTTCTAGTCTCTGGCTACAGGTACGATTTCGTAATATGAATGAAAATTAACTCTACTAATTCTGCTCAGGGGGTTGCCCTCACGCTGACTCCCTTGGCCAACGAATTCGGTATCTCCGAATCTAATTCTCGTTTCGCAACGTGTGCCTTGTTTGTGGGTCTGATTGTCGGTGCTTCTTTCTGGGGTCTTGCCTCGGATGCGATTGGACGCCGGCCTGCGTTCAACATGACGCTATTTCTCTGCGGTGCGTTTGGACTCGCCGCCGGTGGTGCATCGAGTTGGGTTGGGTATGTCTTCATTTTTCCCCTTCCCTTTAGTTTTGCTCTCTTCAGGTTCATTACTTTGTTTCAGTCCCCGAAATTAACAAGATTGCCAGGGCCTGCGCACTATACGCATGCTTAGGGGTAGGAGTAGGCGGAAACCTGCCTGTCGACGCCGCTGTCTTCTTGGAGTTTCTGCCTTTCACATCAGGCAATCTTCTAAGCTCCCTGGCCGTATTCTGGTCCGTCGGGAATCTGATTGCCAGTCTGCTGGCGTGGGCATTCATCCCCAACTTCTCCTGCGACGAAGCCTCGACCTGTACCAAGGCGAGCAACTGGGGCTGGAGATACCTGGTTTTGTCGCTGGGCGCCATCACATTTGCCATGTTCCTCTGTCGGTTCCTCCTATTTACGCTGTACGAGTCGCCCAAGTACCTCGTCTCCCGAGGGCGTCAGGATGAGGCCGTGGGTGCCGTTCAAGGCATCGCCAAGAAAAATAGGGCCAAGACGTGGCTGACGGAGGAGATCCTGAATGAAATCGGGGGACACCCCGAGGAGAAAATAAAGGACCAGTCTTTGTCCTATACGGAGATTCTCAAACGATCGCTGGAGCGGTTCTCCTACCAGCAGATAGTCCCCTTGTTCGGCAACAAGCGTCTAGGGTTTACCAGTATGATACCTTCATAATATTCCCTAAAACACCCCAATCCACTAACACGATACAGCGATTCTGATCTGGTTCTGCTGGACCACAATCGGCATGGGCTACACGCTCTTCAACGCCTTCCTCCCCCAATACATCGGCGCCAACTCCTCCACCTACATCACCTACCGCAACTACGCCATCACCGCCGTCTGCGGCTTGCCCGGCCCGCTCCTCGCCTGGTACACCGTCGACATCAAATACATCGGCCGCAAAGGCACAATGGCCGTGTCAACCCTCATCACCGGTGTCCTCCTCTTCTGCTTCACAGCCTCCAAAGACCCCAACGTGCAGCTCGTCTGCTCCGCGCTCGAATCCTTCTTCCAGATGATCATGTACGGCGTGCTGTACGCCTACACGCCGGAGGTGTTCCCCGCGCCCAACCGCGGCACCGGCACCGGCATCGCTAGCTGTTTGAACCGTATTGCGGGGTTGATGGCGCCTATTATCGCTATTTATACGACTGATGCGGACCCCGCGAGTCCGATTTATGCGGCTGGGGCGCTTATGTTGGCTGCTTTTGTGGCGATGTGTTTGTTGCCGATTGAGACGCGGGGGAGACAGGCTCTATAGTTTGGATGATGGAGTTGGCTACTGTGGGTAGTTTGCATATAGGAGAGATGACGGACCGTTGGGCTGGTATATACCCGAGCTGGTACATACCCGAGACTGGTGCGGAGTATATACTCGAGATCAGCCTGACATTATCCCGCCGGAGTGTATATACTGTATACGAGGCTTGCATTATACACTGAACTTGAACGATGTTCACGTGTATATTTATCAGCGAGACATTCAATTCGATACCGTTTAATTCTATTTCAAATGACATTTATAGTACTATGTCTGACAGGATAAGTCGAAAGCAAATATACCAATTTATTCATCTTCAACTCCAATGAGCTACTTCAAGAAATACAACAACTGATACATAAAACCAACCCATCGAGTAGGTAGGCAAGTAGACAGGCAGACAGGCAAGCAGGCAAGTAAGTAAGTACCTATCCATCAACAGATAGACACCGGTACCTACCCACCTACCTACCAATCCAATCCAATACCCAGCAACCCGGGAATGTAACTAACAATCCCACGCGCAAAGCGTCAAAACCTCAGTCGCCTCCGCCGAACAATCCCTAACATGGTTCCCACCCGGGTTCACGCCATCCGCCCAACAGATATTCCCACAGCTCGGATCATCACTATTCACACTGAGCGCATCCCCCTCAAACGGCGCCCCAAACACATTCGACAAATCATACCACACGCGATCGCCGGTCAGCGAGTACGCGAAGTTCGTCTGCGCGGACCCGTCCCACAGGCCGTCCGGGCCGCGGGTGATCTTCAGCGAGACGCCGCCGGAGGCGGCGTCGTGGCGGACGCTCTCGCTGTAGATTTCGTTCGGGTGGAGCGTCTGGCGGGGGCCGACGGCGCCGCCGACGGACCAGAGGTAGACGGGTTCGGCGCAGTTGTTGTGCACGACGGCGCGGCCGAGGGCGGTGGCTTGGGCTGTGAGGCCGAGGGTTGTTGCGAGGGTGGAGAATTTCATTTTGGTGGTTTTTTTTGAGGAGGTGGTGGTTTGGTTGAGGAGGGGGATGGGATTCTGGAGATGCTTGCTTGATTGATTGATTGATTGACTTGAGTCTTTTCTTGCTGAGATGGTAGTATAGACGCAGGATGCATCTACCTTTTTATACCTTTTCCTCCCCATATAAAGAAAGATAGATGACCGTTTTCATCCACATCTACATCATAGCACACCCATCCCAAAGCAGGTCAACGTTAGAAAAAAGTAACATCAGAAAACAGGTCTACGATTCCGACCAACCACACATTCCATCCCCGCAATGAACCACATTCCATCTGAGACAGGTAGCATTTGCTTCATTTCTATAGGTACCTAGGGTGGCGGGCTACAGCGGTGGCTACTATCATTGTAGAGTATCCACTATAATTATAGAGTACTAGAATTGTAGAGTGCTACTATTATTATAGATCAAGTCTGATATGTAGATACCCCTCAAACCAAACCCCAACCCCAAACGCCACAGCCAAACCCCACCACAGCTACCTACACTACTAATGCAGCATCTGCTTGCTACAGCCTACACGACGCATCTGGTTGGTGTTGTTCCATAGGTAGTCACCTCCCTCCCTCCCAACCTCCCTAACCAGTGGACGGGCAAGCCCAGTAAGGCCCCCCGCAAATACCTACCTACCTACCTACTCCCCAACAACCCAACAACCAAACCGAACCAGATGACACCCCAAACCAAAGAATCCCCCCTCGTATTCTCCGGTTACATACATACACACAATGCTTTTTTTCTCGGAAAAAAGTTCCGAATCTGCCGTCCATCACCGTGACATCAATCAGGTGATGGAATGTGGGGGGTGGCGCGCGCGGGGGGGTGTGGGGTGGGTTAGTTAGTTAGTCAGCGCCGTTTTTGGATTTTTGCGGACATTCAAATTCTGCACGGAGATGAAGTGGCTGTTTGGAATGGAATGGAATGGGGGGTGTGTGGTGGGTATTTTTGGCTTGGGAAGTTGGGGAGTTGTGGTTTGGGGAGTTGTCTCTATGGGTTTGTTGGGTCATTTACGAAGGTGGATAATGTAACTCTGGGTACTATTTCCGTTACTATCTTTAGTTATCGTTTCATGTCTGGTTCGGCCGAGGTGGTGGACGACGGATAGGGAAGTAGGTAGGTGACTACAACCTATGGGTCATGTGGTATAGTGGTAGTAGTAGTACCAGAGTGCCTAGCAAGTAGTATGGTATGGTATGTATGTATGTGCAAGAGCAGAGCAAACCAGCCGGATACATCACCCAAACGTAAATAAAACCCCCGGATCAATTCAACCCAGGTGTCGGCTGAGTATTCTTCTTACTCGGCGACCGGCTCGTCCGCTTCTCCTCCTCGACCTCCTCGCTATCATGCACATCCGCCCGCTCCTCGACCCACCGGAAGACATCCCCCTTGTGGTGCATCAGCATCTCGCTGAGCCCCGCTTTGGGAGACTGGATCAGTTGCCCGTAGCGCTTGGAGGGCTTGCGCTGGCCGGTGTTGTTCCAGACGCCGTGCGTGTGGGAGACGAATACGAGGGAATTCTGCTTTGTTTAGCGCGCTGCAAATAATGGGAGGGCCGGATGGGGATCGGTCGGGATTTGACTTACGTCTCTGTACCATCGGGAGAGCCAGGTCTGCGTGTGCGAGGCTACTGCGCGGACGGGGTTCTCGGCGACGAATGAGACGACGCCGTTGACTCGTTGGTATAGTGTGTCTTGGACGGAAGGTTAGTTGCTGGCGCACGTGTTACTTGGTGGTGTGGTGTTACCTCTGTTGATTAGAAGGTTTGCAACTCCGTAGAATGCGTTGCCGATGCCGAGAAGGAAAATCTCTGTCGCGTCGTTCGGTCTGTCCTGCATTAGTTCATGGACTGATGGCCTTCCATTCGGCGTATCCACTCACTCGATGTAATTGTCCCACAGATATCCAGCCAGCTCTTCGGTAGCGGTAGGCCTATTCTCGCTTTCGTCCTCGTATTTCCCGGGTGACTTTGGATGTCAGTAATATCACATAATATGAAGAGAACAAAACGCACCGGCTCCATTGTCGCATGTTTCGGAATATTTACATCTATCACAGCGTAGCCTTTGCCAATCGCCCATGCGATATAGTCCTTCATGACATCAGCCTTGGTCGGTTAGCGTATGCAGTAAGTTGGGTAGGTGGTTACTGACCATCCAGCAGTTGTGGGCCTCCAGCTTGTTGGTGACGGGATGGGGCAAGCCCATGATTTCCGGTCTGCATTCGTTAGATATAATTTTGTGATTTGGTCGGGATACTCACGGGTCGTGGAAGATCACCAGGAGAGGTGTGGCTTGGTAGTAGTTTGCACTAGAGAACTTAGTACATGGGCGTAGACTGCGATCTGTTGTCTTCTTACCTCGCCAATACTTGGTTCTCGAATGACTTGGAAATAGCCGTCCGGTAGATATAAAGTGATGTAAGCTTGTAGTTGTCGTAGAGCTGCTTCGACTGGTACGCGCGGATGACATCTGCCACTGTTAATGCCGCTCTCTAATACCTAGGGAGAGACAAACCATGAAGCCTATCCGTCCACAATCCATCCGTCTCTGGTCGCTTCGGATACATGCACCGCCAGAAACGAGACTGGATCATCATGACCTGCCGCACAACGGAGATCGCCTCATCCGACGGCGTGTTGGAATGCAGTCTATCTGGCGGATCCCCCATGAGGGTCTTGGTGACTGCAAGCGCCGATTTCGAAATCGACCGGAAGTTGTAACCGCCCTGCATCGCGTTAGTCTCAGCCGAGTTATAGAACCGCGGGCAATCCGACCTCTAAGCAAACGGAAACCTTTCCTTCCGCCAGCGTCATCAACATGTGTGTCATCGCGGCATAACAGGCCGGGGTCACGAAACATCCTCCAAGCTCGTCGCCCACGGCGGCGTCAAATCCAGAGGCAACTAGGTTATGTCAGTCTTCAGCTCGTCCTTACTGAACCTGTGTCTAGCATACTTATTACCAAGTCCGGATTGAACTCCTGAGCAATCGGCATGACGACCTGCTGAAATGCAAAGAGGTAATCGCCATCGCCCATGCCTTGATTCTTCCAAGGAATATTGACATTTCTACACCATGTCAGTCAGGTAAAATTCAACGATAAGCGCACAACATACCGGCCAAGCCCTGCGCCTTCACCACAATGATCCCAATCACCTTCGTCACCGCCCGGGTAAAAGTTGCCATCCCGATACACATGCAACGAGATGTAGAGGACATTGGGGTCGTCGTAGAATGCCTTTTGAATACCATTTCCTACAAAACGTGAGCAACATGCCGTCGGCTAAGACGAAAGCCAATAGTTACCGTGATGAACATCCCTGTTCATGTTAATATCCCTCGTAATCTCAGGGATTGGAACTAACTTACCAATCCAGAATCATAATCTTTCGACAGCTGTCTCCGAGCTCCCTCTGGCAAACACGTGCGGCCACAGAAACATTGTTGAATAAACAGAACCCCATGGTTTTGTCATGCTCAGCATGATGCCCGGGCGGCCGGATAACGGCGATTGCATTCTTCACTTTTCGGGTGGCGACAGCAAGGCATGTCTCAATAGCACCGCCGACCGAAAGCAAGGACGACGCAAACGTGAGTTTATTGAAATAGATCGAGTCGCGTTGGTGTTCCAGCTGGATCAGCTCCTCGTCAGACATATCTGCACAGCGTCAGTTAATAACGAATCAAGACATGTTCATGAGATCTGCGGGGCGTACCTTTCGTGCTCTCCACAAAAGCATAATGGTCCGGCGTGTGTACCAGTGAGACCTCTTCTTCGGTAGCATTGCGGGCACTGATTCGCTGCAAGGGTCGAGAGACCAGTGGCCGAGACGACTCAGAGTCGTCTACAAGGCCCGCTCGACACAGCTCTTTGTAAATGTAGTAGATACGTCGCGGGTCTTCCGGATGGACATCTGTGCTTGGCCGGACCTCGCAGTGATAGCGCATTTGAACATCGTAGCACAGTCCGGACGCGAGCGAGGCAATTGGCAGGCCCGTCCGGGTGGCAACATCGTCATCAGACCAGTTCGAGTTCTCTTCCACCAAGCTGTCTGGCTTGTCGAGATCCTCAGCGGTCGCATCGCCAGAGTCGGTCGACTTCGGCAGACTCTTGGGGGGCGAAACGCCGGCGTCGCCTGCTCCATCCCCTGACTGGATGGGTAAATTGATGGACGAGCCCAGCAATGGCGGTGCTAGCCACGGATCCGATCTCCCCAGGAGATGGGCGGGCATTTGGTGCTGCTCGCTGACGCCATCGGTCAGATGGTGCGAAGTAGTAGTCGGGTGAGGGTGGTGGGAGCCAGCCTCTCCCATGACGGTGTCTTCGTCCCGTTCCATGATTCCCACGAAGAACCCTAGGGAACTTCTGACTTGGTGCTTCTCAGATGGCAGGTTTAAGCCACTGGCATTTCATGGACAGGGTGGTACGCTGGACAGACGAGGATGATGCTCGCAGAATCTTCTACCACCGAAGCGCTTGGTACGTAAAGTTGAGGCGCACAATTCAAAGTAAATGATGCAGTTGGGTTCAATGCCCCAAGAGAAAGAGCGAAAATAACCAGTCGGCTTTGTTTCTTTATGCGGAGGTGAATTGCAACAATGCAGTGAGGGTTAGGTCGTAGTAGAGCGACTACTACTAGTAGGGTCCGTCCGACGCGGGAGATGGATAATGGATAGCGACCAACGCGGGACAAACCAAATCAAGTTGAGCAATCTGAAAGGAAAGATCCAGCTGGTGGACCCGTTATACCAGCCTCTTATGGGTACCGGTTGGCGTTGGCAATCGCGACAAGACACTACTGTAAAGTCGTTCTGGTTTGGTCTGGGTCCAGCATGTAGCTCCCAAAAGACGGTTGACCTAGCTCCCCGACACGTGACCTCCAGCAAGCCTGCGTCTGATAGGCCAACGGTTCTCAATCAAGGGTCTCAAAGGAAGAACCTAAAGGAGCTGCGCCTGATTCTATTGTGGGTGTGTGATCAGAAGAGCTTCAATAAGTACCAGGCAGTAAAGTCCAAACTTGATACAAGGAACTGCGAGATGTACATGAAAGAGCGTTTTTGATCGGTGGTCTCGACCGAGAATTCGCCGACTAGAACCGGCCTTGGCCGACACTACTCATCTACCTATGATCTGTACGTGATATGTCCCCAGTAACTACCACTAGCAACCAGAGACGATTAACAGCGCGTTATCTACCAATTTACAAGGAAGCATTGCATTGGACGTTGATGTATTGGACGTTAATGTATCATTTCATTAAAGTAGTACGTTATCATGTGCTTTTATGCTAGTGGACGCGATCCATCAAGCCCGTGTCCAGAAGGCGACAGGTCCCACAGCCACGAAGCGTTGTTTTGGGTCATTTAAAGGAGACTCTTGGTCCCCACGCTCCGACCTGATTCCTATTGCGAATCCACACCGGCAATGTAGGCGATGAGGTCAACAACACGGTGGGAGTATCCCCACTCGTTGTCGTACCAGGAGACGAGCTTGATGAAGTGCTCGTTCAGGGCGATACCGGCCTTGGCATCGAAGATGGAGGAGTTGTCATCGCCGTTGAGATCGGAGGAGACGATGTCGTCCTCGGTGTAGCCGAGGATGCCTGGACAACAGGTTAGCAAACCGTCGACTGACTATGAGGAGTTCTGAACATACCCTTGAGCTCGCCCTCGGAGGCAGCCTTCATGGTCTTCTTGATCTGCTCGTAGGTGACGGGCTTCTCGGTGCGGCAGGTCAGGTCAACGACGGAGACGTTGGAGGTAGGCACACGCATGGCCATGCCGGTCAGCTTGCCGTTGAGCGAGGGGATGACCTTGCCGACAGCCTTGGCGGCACCGGTGGAGCTGGGGATGATGTTCTGGGCCGCAGTGCGGCCACCACGCCAGTCCTTAGCGGAGGGACCGTCGACGGTCTTCTGGGTGGCGGTGTAGGAGTGGACGGTGGTCATGAGACCCTCAACCAGGCCGAAGTTGTCGTTGACCACCTTGGCGATGGGGGCCAGGCAGTTGGTGGTGCAAGAGGCGTTGGAGAGGACGTTGACATCCTTGGTGTAGGTGTTGTTGTTGACACCCATGACGTACATGGGGGCGTCCGCGGAGGGAGCGGAGATGATGACCTTCTTGGCACCGCCCTTCAAGTGAGCAGAGGCCTTCTCGGTGGTGGTGAAGACACCGGTGGACTCGACGACGTAGGCAGCACCGGTCTCGGCCCAGGGGATGTTGGCGGGGTCACGCTCGGAGTAGAAGCGGATCTTCTTGCCGTTCACGACCAGACCACCGTCGAACAGCTCGATGGTGCCCTTGAACTGTCCGTGGGTGCTGTCATACTTGAGCATGTAGGCCTGTTGATCATTGTGGTTAGTCAATTGTCCTCTGGGTAGAGCTAAGATGGCAGTGCATACAGCATAGTGGGTCTCGATGAAGGGGTCGTTGACAGCGACGACGTCGACGTTGCCAGCAGCGATGCTAATGAATCAAGCTTGGTCAGTATGGTCATCCAACCGATGAGGTCTTGATCCATGTTTCCATGGGTGATCAAGACACTTCTCAGGCAGATGCACTCACGCGTTACGGAAGACCTAGATAATTTGTTAGTTACCCGAACCAATTCATCTGCTTCAGAATAAGGGAGAACTCACGATACGACCGATACGACCGAAGCCGTTGATACCAACCTGGGGGGCCATTGTTGTGGTCTGAGGCGGGGTAGCTGTTAGCTTGGAGGGGTAACAGTAGAGATGGGGGATGTATTATCTCTGTGTGTGTCAGAGAGAAGTACTTACAGATGAAATTTAGAAAGGAGGAGATGATAGAAGATGAAGAGTCAAGAGGAGTGATGAATGGATGAAAGAGAAGAGAGAGAGAGAGAAGAAGAAGAGAAGCAGGATGGTGGGGGAGGGGTCAAGTAGAAAAAGGATGGGAAACGCGGGACAACTGACGCAACGACCAGATTACATCGTACACTAAGGGGACCCAACCTCCAGCGTCTCGGTCAAATCAAAAGCGCACACCGGGCGGACCGACGGGGCCAAAAGCCACCAGCAGCTCAGTAAACGGGTCATGGCCAGCTTAGGTTCCCGGCTTGCGCCGCTCCCCAGCTCCCCAGCAACCTTTTCCGGTTTCATACACCGGGCAAAGCAGGAGACTCACGATATCTGCGAACCCTCCCTCCCCTCGGCAGCTCCACAGGTGGCCAATCAGTGGGCTTAACACGGTCCTCGCTCCTCTCCACCTCGTGAATCTTTTGCCAGATTCTCGGAACTTCCCAGGGGTTAGCTACGGAGAGCTACGGATCTAAGGCAATTCTCGGGCCTTTGACAGTTGACTATTACCTTCTTTACCCGTATTGAATGAGGGGATTCTTTATTAGGGAAAGGACGGAATTCATAGGTGATGAATTATGATGTAATCAACCAATCCATAAGGGGTGAGGGATAATGAGCCATATCTGCCACTCGACCAGACCTGATGACGGTGACACCGTCTCTCACGGTCTCAACCCCTCTAAGGACTGAGGGGCAAAGCAAACCCTTTCCGCTTTCGGGCCGTGAGACCGATCCGGGTCAATAATGGTCCGCATTCCTTTCACTTTGGCATGACCGAAAGGCTCGAATGGGCTTCTGAAGGACCAGTTCTGTCCTCTCCGTGAGCCTGAAAGAGTCACCGAGTCACCGGTGGCCAGAGGATTGATCACGCGTTGGTGTGCAATTTTCACTCTGATAGTCCGCTGTCAATCGATTTCTAATAGCAATTGATCTGGACTTGATTTATTTTGTTTATTTATCTTTATTTATTTTATTTTATTTATTGTTCTTTTTCAAATATATCTATTTTAATCATGGTTGTGCTGATACATCACTTTCCGTTGCAGAGTTATGCATGTTATCCCTGAGATCAACATGCAATAGGAGATCCAGGATGTGTCTGGAAAACAGTTATGAAACAATCACTTCCGCCTAACCCCGCAGTGCGTAACTAAAAACTACCTTCAATGGGATCAGACAACCATAAACGATGCCAGCAAAAACAACCCCTTCGGATAAATCAACAATACCACCCTACCAAACATCCAGGTCTCGACCGTTCTAGTTATACAGCCTCGTCAACATCAAGCAATCAATTGATCAATCAATTGAGAGAAGTGGCATGATGGACACACCGATCTTTGACTCGGTCGCATCGAACAATCCTCCCACTGGGTGAATTCTCCGACCACTGTTTCTTGGTGGGACCATCATCCTGGAAGGAATGGCTGCTTGGTAACCGATTCCATTGTCCTGCGTAACTCTGTTTGGTGGTGATTGCCACCCAAAAAGTTTACTTTACTCTAGTCTAGTGATCCAAGAATGACATCCGGGGTAGGATATAGGTGTCCATTAATGACAGGGGCGTGGATATTAAAATTAGGTAAGATTTCTTTGATAGCTTAAGTCATTCTCAACTCCAAATCCCAACCAAACCTCAACGACCCCGACACGTCCAACCATTACGGAAGCCAATAGGCCATAGTCGCAATGGGTAAGAAAGAAAAAAGGAGAACGGGGTCTCCTCGCCCATTATCAATATATAGACAAGATTGAAATAGATCAGACGTCGTCCTTTCCCTGCATAAATTCCTGAACCCCCTGTTTCCAATATTCAACTCTATAAGTACAGAGGGACAAGCCCTTGTAGTGCCACTTGCATGTCCCCTACACCATAAGGAAACGAAAAAAAATAAACTCATGCATCTGCATTTACTCCTCCTTGACACCACCCCGGTAGTTCTTCTCGGCGTTCTCGATGGAAGCCTTGTCGCTCTTGACCTGGCCCTGGCCCATGAAGCTGTTGCCGGCCTTGAAGGGGCGCGCCAGATCACCGGTGGCGGACTTGCCGAAGACGTGGATCTTGACGAGGTTCGACTCGAGGGCGCTCTTCAGGGGAAGGATCGACTGGATCAGGAGAGGGTTGGTGTACTTGAAGTAGATGTGCATGACACACATCATGCCGACACCCATCAGCTGGCCCTTCATCAGGGTGCGCAGCTGTCCGCGGTCGTACTCCATGTTGGTGGTGGTCACCGGCTTGGGCTCCTCGGTGCTGCCCATGGGGGCGGGCTCGACATACTTGAGCGTAATCAAGTCTACAGATGCGTTAGCGAATTGGATCTTCTTGTAGCTAGTCGCGAACGTAGATACATACCCTTCTTGGCGGTGATCTTGGACTGCGTGTATAGGTACAGACTCAAGATGATGACGTTGGACAGGATGTACACGCCACGGACCATCATGAGCACATCGGGGTCGTCAAAGGCAATCTTCTTCGACAGCTGCATCATCACCACGATGATGGCGAGGTTCGTTCTGTACAGACATTCCACGTTAGCAATGTACGGGGTACCCTTCCGGCACAAGGACGCGCCCCAAACCGATCTCGTCGAGATAGTAGGGCCCACGCCAATAATACCAGGAGAAAGCACTTACACCTGAGGAGACACCATTTTGACGAGAGAGGCGTTTGAAAGCGCGCGAAGAGAAAGCGGGGATAAAAGGCTGTTGAAGATGCGCGTACGGGGACAGAAACTTCCTCAGCGTGCGGAACTGGGGAAGTCGGACAGCTGTCCAGATAGGTGCAGGTCACGTGCAGAAAACCCTTCTGTGGCGCGGTGTTTAGTGTTTACCCGTTGCCACGAGACTGATAACGCGATAACTGGTTAGTGAGCAGTCCGCAGCACATTCCAGAAGGTCGTGGTTCGCGGCCTCAGGCAGGATTGTCCAGGCTGTGAGGCATCAAGATCCAGATCACCTGGTTGGCTTAGGTAATGGGCAGCGGCCATCAATGCTCTTTGCACGGTTGGATCCTTGCCAACCTTCACGATGCCTTGGTGTGTTCAAAGGCAACCATGCTCCCAAGGTCATGATGGCATCAGGAGCCTATATGGGTCTTTCTGTTTGGAATGTGCCATTCACTTATAATGCTTACAGGTTTACCAAGATGGTATGCCTGAAGACCAGAGCATCGCTCTGTGACTCTTCTCAGACTCTACTCACTCCTGTCAGCCAAGCGCATGGTGGTATGCTCATGTGCTGGGTAACTAATCCAGCATTAATCATTTCTACAGGCTGATCTTATCTACTCAAATTCATTTGATCAGACTCTACACCACACCCATCGAATGACATGGCAGTCAACCACGGTCGTCGTGGGGAGACTGCACTCACTGCAGCTGGGCCCGTCCTGAGCATGTTTCCCGATCGGGACTAGCGTTGTTCCACGCTCGATGCCGTCTTTAGCGACCAGGATGGCTCTGACATTTCTGACTCCTTCATCCATCAACAACGCGCGCGTCTCCAGAAATCGGATCGCTTCAACATCCACCATCCCGCTCTATCGATTCCAGTTCCCTTTTGACGCGACATTTTCATCCTTGCGACCCTAAACCTCGACGCTTTTCAAAATGCCGGGCGGAAAAGGAAAGTCTGTTGGTGGAAAGGGCGGTTCCAAGGACTCTGCGGGGAAGTCCCAGAAGTCCCACAGCGCAAAGGCCGGCTTGCAGGTCAGTGTTTTTATCTCCTGCATCAGTTTGATGGCGCGAGGGTTTGCCTTGTGACGGCGACCAGTGATGTGGTAGCCGTTGGGTTTCCTATTTTCCCATTTCCCCCCTCTTGGCTAGTGATGTTCTTGAGACGCGTCAACTCCTGTATCGCAGTGCGATTTAGGCTGTGATTGGAAATACTCGTGTCTCGTTTCGGGTCCCCCGGATGCCCGCCCGGGCAATCCCGTCTGGGGATTTCTTCGCTGCCAAATCTCAGGCCATATATTGCAACATCTACTATAAGCTGGATTTTAGGCTGACGTTTATGAATTTACAGTTCCCCTGCGGTCGTGTCAAGCGTTTCTTGAAGAACAACACCCAGAATAAGATGCGCGTTGGTGCTAAAGGTATACTACCCCCATTTCGAGCACGCTCTATGCCTGCCCCTCCCAAACAAGTTTGTTTGAAAACACCACTAATACGACAAATCAACCAGCCGCTGTCTATGTCACTGCCGTCCTCGAATATCTGACTGCGGAAGTGCTCGAGCTTGCCGGAAACGCCGCGAAGGATCTCAAAGTCAAGCGTATCACCCCGCGCCATCTGCAACTCGCCATCCGTGGAGACGAAGAGCTGGACACGCTGATTCGCGCGACCATCGCCTTTGGCGGTGTGCTACCGCGCATCAACCGCGCGCTCCTGCTCAAGGTGGAGCAGAAGAAGAAAACCAAGTCCGATGCTTAATTTACGGCGAATACCCCACGAAAATATGGCGTTTGGTAACGATGACGACTGAAAGCGCTCAGGATGTGCATGTGCATGGATCGATGTCCGGGGTCGTGTTCCATCCAATATTAATCTCACGACAATGACGAACTACGGGACAGCAGACTTGCCAGCAGACACAGACACCAGACACCACCCACACCCTGATGACGCTGCAATTCGAAACGTAAAAGAAGAAAATCCTTTCGATCATCTATTCCTGATAGTGGTTCTTTTTTCACTTTTTCACTTCTTTCACTTTTCCTCTAATATTATTCACCCAGTGTTATTTCCTTTTTTTTACTATTCCTCTCTTCATTACTCTACTCCTCCCATCCCCGCGCTATTCGTCCAAACCTCTAGTCTGAATCACCAAGGGCGCTCGCCATATCAGGATGGGGAAAAAGGGGAAACCCAACAACTCACTAGTGGGCTTGCAAGGCTCATCAATTCTGTTCTTACTTTTCCCCACGTCTAAGTAAATTCCTGTTCTATTATTATCATTGTTCGATTGATGGTGTTGAGTGATTTCTGTTTGTCTTTTTACCTGTCTACTTACCCACCTCCCTCTCTATCTATACTACGCTCAAGTCAGCTCTCTTATCAACCACTCATGGTTTTCTCCATCTATTCGAGTGGTGAAAGTAGATATGCCATTCGCTTTGTACTACTAGTCAAGTTTGTTCCTACTCGTAGTATATTCTATACACGTCTCCCCTACCAGATACTACTCGTAGTATAGATTCTATGCTATATACATCTTCCCCTACCTAGTTCCACCACTCTACCTACCTATTCACCTACCCACCTACCAACCGACCTACCCACTACATTCTATACAAGTCTTTCAACTAGGTTGATTGATTAGGCCTTCTTATTTAATCTTATTATGTATTTGTTTTTCTCTCTTGCCTTGTTCTGGGAGGTACATGGCCTAAGCTTGAATAAAGTTTTGTATATCAAATACATTGTTTGATGAAGAGTATATATATATATATGACATATTTGCTTAAGGTATGTGTGTATGTCATAAAGCAATAAATGGAATAATGACAAGTAAGAGCAAAACCAACCAAGTATATAACTAAATAAATGAACAAACGATAAAAAGATAAATTATCATAACCTAGACAGATGTGTATGTAAACGCCGTTGTAGAATCAAAAGCAAGCAGTAAACTCTACAAAATCAACAACACAAGGCAATATACAAAAGATTGACAAATGAATGACTAGATAATACTCACTCTCCTTCCTAGACCCTCTGCAATGACAGCGATTCATACTTTGTAAAATTAAAATACATGATTCAAATACAGAGAACACGTGTGAAAGACCTTATATACCCATCCCATCTTGCGGTCTCACCGCATCACTCATCAACTACATCACCACCACCAAAGTCAAGTCCAGGTAGGTCCAAACTGATAATAAAACATACATTTATTGACGATCTGAAAAAGGTAATCAGAGTAGAGTACTGGAGACGATTTAGGGGCAAGATCGATAGATAGAAAGAAAGAGATAAGAATAGAAAGATATTGCAGACTCGGCCTCGTGGGGTAGATAGATAGTCAAGGCCCATTAGAAGGGGGAAGGATGGATGGATGTGGATGCATTGGCGAGAACAGAAAGAGGAAATGACTGGAATAGTAAAATAAAATAAATGAAATGAGATATAGAAAAGGCAGATTCGTTTGTTTGCAACTCGGGGCAAGAGTAAAGATGAAAAGACAACCGGTAGGGAAACCTACCTATCGGACTGCATAACTAGTCCGATGGTTGGTTGTCTTGGTATCAGTGGACAGAATGAGATTATGCCCTCTTGAACTCCGTCAAGCCACCGTACGTAAACGCAAACGGCCACCCTTTGATGTCGAGACCACAATTCCCATGTTCATGCAAATACAGTCGAAGCCAAACCAACATGCGAACTGGAGAGAACGGAACAGAATTTGAATCCTAGACCAAATCCCCAGTCACATGAGCAATTTGACCCGGTGCATCGCATAAACACAGTGTGTAGCAATGCTGGAAAATAGGAAGACAAAATTGAAAAGTGAAGCACATGATTAAACAATGCAAAAATCGCCCCATATACAAAAAACATTCCAAGAAATATGCAAATGCAGGTATGTCATCTCTCTTTGCCATGGTAGAAAAGACATTGGAATTCTTTTCAGACTTTTTGTCGTGCTTCGTGGTCTTCCTGGGATTTAAAAAAAAAAAATTGTCCTTGCCTTCCGCCAACAGACACAGTCGAAGATAAGCGTATAAATAATAACGAGGTTGCTGCATGTAAAGTGCCTGGGTCTCAAACCTTCAAGAGCTTCCTTTTTTGTGGGTTTTCTTTTTCCGAGAAACAGTAAACAGGATAGTAATAAAAAATGTAAAAAAAAAGAAAAAAAGATAATGTAAAAAAATAGAGTTGACCGTTCAAAAAGATGTGCCTGGTGGGCTGCCCCAAAATCACGTCTAAACTTGGCTAGATCAGAGAATTTTGTTTTTTTTTTCTTGCGCTTCTCTTGAGTGTCATCTCGTCATCCCTCATCGAATCGTAAGCCAATAAATCGCAGTATAGGATCAGGCCTCGTGATATAAGAGTCGTATGCTTCTTGCGGAAAAGCAATCTAACAAGTTTTGTCGTTGTCTTCATCTCCCATCAAAAAATAATAACAAGTTGGCGTTTTTCTTTACTCCACAATGATCTCGACACCAGAGTTGGTCCGCAACTCATCACTGCCGTGCGATTGGTGTCCATTCTGTCGTCGGAATCCTGCGCCCTTGTCGGAAATAGGGCCTCGGGGTTGTCTAATTGGCATGCGCTCCTGTGACTGACCGTCAAATCCCACTCCCATGGATCGGTTACTACCAATGGGGCCAGCACTGGAAGGTTGGCTTTCCGGCTGCTCCCAAGAGAACATACCCCGCAATCTCCTCGGGCTCGAGTTCTGCCCCGCAATTCCCGTTCCAAGCGACAGGCCGCCCAGGCTGTTCAACAGATTGTCGTCCCGCTGCATACCCAGCGAAGAGCCCGATGGCGCGGGCGTCAGGGTCGGAGTGTTGGAGGCGCCGCTGGTGACACCGTCATACTGTTGGAGGCGGGCGCCGTTCGATTGCATTGCCGTGGGAAAGCTGGCGGAGGAAGGGACGGGCGACGGGGTGTACGAACGCAGATCGGCGAAGGATTTGGCGGCTCGGAGGTTCTGCGCATTTGTATAGTTACCAGGGGAGTCCAGAACGCCCAGGAAGCCCGACGCCTGCCCACGGAGAGAGTTGTAGGGGCCCGGGGCTTCGTTACGGGCTTCACTGAAGTCGATCGTCGCAGCGCGGTTCAGTGCGCGCCGACCCGAATCCGGAGGCTGGACGGCCGCAGGGATCGAGGTCATGGGCGGGCTCACATTGGTCCCGGGAGAGACCCGGAACACCTGCACCTGCCGCTGCTCTCCCGATCCCCGGGAGGCATGTCCCAGGCCCATGTTGTGGGCAAGAGTGTGCACCGTGCGACGCTGGACGGGGGTAAGGTTCGCGGGGAAAAGCAAGGAGTCACGACCAACATCCTCCTTGAAAAGGAGAAGCTGCGAATAGTACTGAAGCGTCTGGGTGTCATTCAAGTCGACATCTGTAAGGAAAAGTCGGTTAGGAACACATCCATCTCGGCGAAAGGAACCAATCAAAGAGACGATAGCAGTAAGATCAAATCGTGACGGAGAACGTTAAAAAGGACACCAATCGCTGGACAACCCAACTTACCTAGCTTTTGCCCACGCTGCGAGACGGGCGAGGGCGATGTCGCAGGGATGTGGGAAGCCAGCGAGGACATCGAACTCTGGGTCTGGAGTTGGGAGCCAGCCATGGGGCGATGCTGTTCCTCCAACTGCCCGCGACGTTCCCGCTTCTCCCGTTCGATGCGCTCGCGCTCCTGGAGGGGGAGCATCTTCTTGTACTCGACGCGCAACTTGCGTCCCTGGAGCTCGAAATGGTTGAGGACCTCAATAACAGTCGCCGTCTCCTCGGCCGACGTAAAGTTGGCAAAGGCCAGTCCCCGAAAGACGCCATTGTCAAAGTGGTAGTTGAACGCGTAGGGCAAGGGCAGGCTCAACTCCGTCATCAGCTGGACCAGCTGCTCCTTCTTGACCGCAAAGGGGATGTTCTTGATGACGATGGCGGTGGGAATCAGCTCATCGTCCACTTCCGACGCGCCGGTGGGTTCGGAACGAATCGCGCCGCCCTGGAGAGGGCCGGGACCGAGGTTGGAAAAGGGGCTGGGAATGCCCGGCTGCTGGTCGAGCCAGGTCTAGTGACAGATGTTAGCCTCACCATCCCCATCGACAACTTCGTCATCGCGCCACCCGATACTACTCACCGTGGGGAGGGCCGCCCGGCCGGTGCGAGAGGTTTTCAGGCTGGCAGAGGCCGACCGGATGCCGCCGAGCGACTGGGCGTTGGCGAATCCATTCGGGTTCCAAGTTTGCGAGCCAGCCAGGTCATACGCATAAGAAGGATTCTGCAGCGACGGGTTCAGGCGTTCCAGACGACCGGTGTCGTAGCGGGCCATGGGGTCCTCGTACAGGTTCACGGGCATGGGGCCGTACGCGTCGAACTGTCGCGACGGCTGGCGGTGGAGGGGCTGCTGATGACGCTGCGAGCCAGGCGAACGCGCAGCGGAGTTGTCGTGATACATATCCGGCGCTTGTTGATAACTCATGGCGGGCGAAGAAGGAGAATTTCCACCAGACGGACGATTCAACCGAAGAATGTGGGCACGTAAAATCCAAATATATCCCTACACAACAGACCCGTTTCGATGAGATGCAAAATCGCCCAAACGGACTACTCCAACATAAGAGCGATCGGGCAGGCGTCGAGCGGGATTGGGGGGGGGCGACGTGCAAATGTGCGACCCACGAGGTCGGGGAAGGTGGATGAAACCGTGCGGGAATTCGACACGAAAATTGAGTTGGGCGCGGGTGACAAGGC